AAAAAAGAAAAAGGCCCCAGGTACGGAGTTTTTGTTTTCATTTTTCAAAGATTATGTTGCAAATCTCCAGCTGAGAACCCTGCAATACGCAACTGCTTAACCTTGCTGCAATATTAACCTTTCTAAAGCATGACTGTCAATTTCACTTCCAAACTCAAGAATCTTCTCTTATTCCCAGTGCTTACAATATCAAGACCAAAGTCAAGGTACTCTGTGTTCTAGTCAAGCTCCGTTACTATCCCACACACATGCTCTTTCACACTTGTGAACAATTTCTCCCCTACAATTTTAATTTTTCTCCTATTTGATGCCCAGCTCCTGTCTTACTTCTTCCAAAATGACTATCCAAACATTGCAGGAATCACTGGTATTTCCAACAGCACTTACAGCCCCAAACACATTATGAGAACCCTGCTATCATTCTATGTGACTGCATTCTATCTTGTATTGTTCTTTAATAGATTCCCAAAGTGAAACTCCTATTGCTTCAAAAAAACTCTTTGAACTTGGGCTTCTTGAAAAAATGGCTAATTCCAAGTCTGGTCAAGAAATTTCAAGATGATCCTGGGACATTTTAGTGTGATCACAAGCAGGAAGCCTATCAAAGATGAACAGAGTCAAGGCAAAAGCACACCAGTGCCAACTCAAAGGCACTCCCCAAGATGGAATACTTAAAGCATTAAAATGCATTCATGAAAACCACAAGTGGACTGAAAAACATCAAATATATAAATTCACAAGTTGAGGGGCACTTGGGTGGCTCAGTCAGTCAGTTAAGCATCCAGCTTCGGCTCAGGTCATGATCTCACAGCCCAGACCTGACCACCCAGCCTGGAGCCTGCTTCGGATTCTGGGTCTCCGTTCATGCTCTGTCTCTGTCTCTCTCTCAAAAATAAAATAAAACATTTAAAAATAAACAAATTCATGAATTCATAATGATACTTAAAAAAGAAAAAAAACCTCATTCTTAAAATTGGCAAATAAAATAATTGAGCATACACCTAGCCTGTATATCCTGTATAAACTATAGT